TTTTTTATCAAATTAATTAAATCATTCTAAACTTCTATTTGACCAATTATAACCTGAATTGGCTGTGAGGTAGTCTACCAGAAAGATTTATTCGGATTGAAGAGACATTCACTAAATCAACATATAAATCAGCTAAACCATTGGAAAATTCAGTACAAATATTTGTTTCTTTTCTTGAAGATTGCTCTTCCCAATCTGTAAAATTTTTAAACGCTATTGGATGTTTTTTATGACATCAGCAGGTTTTTTTTTGTTTTTTATTCAGTAGAATTTTTTATATATACCTTTTTTTGGTTTCCCCCATATTTTAATAGCATAAAAACTGGAAATTTTGTGTTATATTTAAATATATGCAGTAAACTAGATCCCCTCCTGTTTTAAACCAGTCTTACCGAGGCATACATGTAAACAACCCACGAAAGCTACCATCAGCTGTTTCAAGGTCATTCAGATTATAAACAATGCAGACTGCACATGTAAAATTTTTCATCTTGTAAAATGATAAACATAGCTGCAGGGAGTGTTTTTCTATTTAAAAGAAGCAGGCATTTTTTTTAATTTTTAACTTTTTATATTGTNAAGGAAGAAAAGCACTTTGTTTTCTGTCAAATTATATTTAAATTATTTTTTAATAATGAAATTTAATAAAGAAATTTGTTAATTAACTACGACCCTTAAGAAAAGAAAGGTCTGGTTTCTTTTGAACTGGGAAATGTCCTAATCATTTAAAAAATGTTATGGCAAGAAATTGTAAAAATGTTGGAAAAATAAAAAAATTAAATTAATTACGGGAGGTAAAGCACAATTTTTTTGGATTACTTTGTAGGTGAAGGGTTAGACAAAAAGAGTAACCCTTGATCCTGTATCAATTGTCAATACTGCGGGATGTTCATCAATCATGCACAGCATTATGGGTCTTCCATTTATTAACTTTTTGTTTTCAACCCCTTTTCTTTGTTGCTTTAATCCATTAGGATTTTGAAATGGCCTTCCTGACTCTTATCTGTGTGTAGGGCAGAAGTTTCTATCATCTTTGAGTCTACTTATCTGGCCTTTGGATGGAGGTCAGCTGAGTTCTGTTATGATGCATTTTTGTTTTCCCGCCTTAAAATTATCACTTTTGCAGCACATAATAAAAGTTTTGTGAAGGCTTAAAATGATTTCTACTTTGCCTATCTCTATAAAGTTCTTTGCGCAAATTCTTTACCTGTCTCTGTAGGCTCAAGACTAAATTTTTCAATTCCTTTATCTGGTTTGTAGTTTTATTGTCTCTGTCTATCTGGGCAACTGTGTCTCTTCTCTTTCCTGTTAATTGCTCTATTGTTTCCTCAGTGATTGCAATCCTAAGCGTGTCATCAAATGTTATAAGTTCTCTCAACATAACATATTGTCATATCCTATTATCTATTCCAATGAGAAACTGTACTTTCATTCAATCATCCAATTCCTTATTTTGGATATACTGTATTATAGCCATTTTAATAGCATCTGCACCCACCTGTTCAATTTCTGTTGCAAACAACTGAAGTTGCACAGTGTAGATCTGAACATCATCTCCCCTTTGCTGCATGCAAGCATAAAACTTCTGCAGCTAAATGAATACAGCTCCCTTTAAAACCACTCCACCATAATGCACCTAAAGGTATCATAATCTTCAACATCTTTTATGCACCTATCATTTCGAGCAAACTCCTGCACAATTCCCGTTAGTTTTAACATGGCTACAGCTAACATCTGTGCCTTGGTCCAAATGGCTATTCTTGTGATGTCTGCTAGAGAGTCAAAAAAAATCTGTTATGCTAGGCCAGTTGGGATCTCCAGAAAAGGTGGGAAGTAACGATACCATTCTGCCAAATCCGCTTAAAGTGACTGGATTTGTTCTTCGCAAGTAGCATGCTGCTTCCATCTTTACTCCTGTCTAAATTCTCTGGTTCCTATCTAAATTTCTCAAAGTCTTAGACACTCAACCTGTCTATGACTGACAACCCATTTCCAAAGAACTACTTAATTTGAAAAGAATAACTTAATTTGACAAGATCAACCTAGATAACCCCACCCTCACACCAAATGTGAAATCAGGGCTGTGAGATCTCACTCACTGTACAGGATGGCTAGATTTCATTCAAAGAGGAGACAGGGTGGATCAGCAAAATCCAGTCTATCTTGCATCAGTCCTGACACCAGTTAAGAAGTAATACATCTTAACTCACAAAATGAAAATTATTNTTCTAAACTTACTGTCATGAAAATATGTTGAACTTACCAATGTTGTAATTTTTTTTAATTACAAACAATAAACTACAAGTTCAGCAAACAAAAATTATTCTTTATACAGTAAAATTTACAGCCATTTTATGGTGAATCTTAGTTTGCAATGAATACAAAGAAATCGTATAGAATATAAATTTAAAACTGATTCATAAAATTTAGAATACAGGTGTCCCTTGTTTAATGCAGGGTTTGATTAATGTGCAAAATTAATTGCAGCAATCCCTTTATATATGCAGCAGAAGTTTTAATTTACATAATTTTACCAGCCATTTTTACCAGTAGGATCGTGGGATTACTGTACATTTACAGTATTCTACAACAAATTAGAATAAAAATAAAAAATTATTAACTATGTTGTAACGATTGTAAAACAATTTTGTGAAATTAAATTGTTAATACTAAAATACATTCCCTGTTAACAATTTCTTTTGTAAATGCATTTTGTGTCCACAGAAAATTTCTTTTCTAAATCCCACATAGTATTTTTTTTTATATCAAATGCAAACTATTTTCATTTCTGTTTATATGAAATAATGTACTTTTATTCTTTAATTTTATTCCTTGTCACATTTCACTAAAAAATATATATATCCCCTGTATAACACGATAATTATGTTCCAAAAAAGTGCAGTGTTATGTGAATCTATACTATACAAAACATAAGGTTACATTCCACAAGTATATTATTGTGAGATTGGGGGCTGTGAGACCTCACTCATTGTACAGGATGGCTAGATTTCATTCAAAGAGGAGACAGGGTGGATCAGCAAAATCCAGTCTGTCTCGCATCAGTCCTGACACCAGTTAAGAAGTAATACATCTTAACTCACAAAATGAAAATTATTTATCTGATCCGAATTGCCGATCAAAACATTGAATGATAACATTGAGTGGTGGAGAGGGTCGTGTCAATTCGGAAAATGGAAACAGGGTGAGACAAATCCACTAATAAATTAACTAGATTTATTTAGATTTATAGATTATATATACAAATGTGTACAATTATTGTATTAAGCTAACAAGATTCAAAATTAACAAATCTGAATATTGGTTAAATACTTTGGGATAAGATCCAAATGAGAGAGCTTACAATAATTTGCATACTACCTGGGAAGGTGAGAATCTTCTTCTTGTTAATGTAAATCTTTCTTAGGTGGACCAGTTTATAGGCAAGAACTAAAATGGCTAGTAGTACTATGACATGACTAAAAACTCAACTTGCTGTTAGAGTGACTAAAAGCATGGATGGAAGGAGGCTTCCACCTTTTATAGGAAATATGAAGACCAACTGGATCTATTCTTAATGCAATCATTCTATCATTAGCTTTCAATATAGTAGAAACTTCAACATCCTCTAAATCACAGGAAACAAAAGAGAGATGTTGAATCTAGATAAGAATTTATCTTTCTTTCCTTTTTGTAAAATAAATCTGATTTTCTACTAAATTTAAAAATCTTTTTAACATTTAAAACTGTTCCCAAACCCAGGTTCTCAAACTATTCTTTTTCATAATTAATAAAAATATGTTTATTAAAGCAATCAATAATTATCTAATAATCATAATCAAAGGTATTGTACGTTAAAATTAATTTTTTCTTCACTACTAAACACTGTTAAATGAGAACATTTTCTTTTTGGGAAAATACCATCATGTTATGAGGTTTTCCCTGTTGACTTTAATCTGAAGTATCAGCAACATCTTGATTTTTCTCATAAAATCTGATATTTTCATTTGCTTGTGTGTGCTTAAGAGAACTTTAAAAATTTAATCTTTTTATGTAGCAAAATTTTAATTTAATGTATAAAAACAAAACACAGCAACAGTCTTTTTGGTTCACTTACAGCACTGTCACCAGCAACACCTGGTTTATAGGAAAGCTAGAATAGTAAGTCGTGATGAGGAAGTAGAAAAATTGTACAATTAGTTCTCATTAAAGAAAATGGGGCAAAAGCACAAAACAACATTGCTCATGGATTTTAGAATATTGAAATTTTCAAATATGATACAACATGCATGCTTGTTTGGATAAAAAAAATATCGAATGACAGTGTAAAATTGTAATATTTACACTTAAAATTGTAACATTTTGTAACTCCAATTCTCAAACTGTGTTAGAGAGAAATCATGATGTAAAAACACCATGTTGTATGGAGGATTTCCCCAATTCTTGAGCCATGTTATATGAGGGATATCTATGTGTGTGCGTGTACATATATATCTTTTTACTCTAAACTAATATGCTGACATAATCTTCTATAACAGATGACACACACAATATTACTTATAATGATATTATTATTTTTAAAAAAAATTAGGCTTAACATCAACGAAAATTCAACATGGCGTCATAGGCAACAAATAAAAATTTCAACATCAAATAGGTTAAACAGTGTAGGATATTTAAAAATAATAAAAGTGAGACAAGCCCCAAATGTAAATAAAATTAATAATTGGAATAAAAATTTATACTATTTGTGCCTTTACAATTTACAACCTCATATACCTTTAAAGCCTTGAATGCTTTTTTGTTTTTATAATAAAATATTCAAAGTTCTTTTAAGAACTAAATAGAAAAATGTCACCTCTCAAAAAAAAATCCAGCAACAAGTTGCATAACTATCCCAGCTGTTATGAGATTTTATTTAAAAATAACTTTTATACTATTAATCATTATGAATAATATTGTGTGTGGTGCCATTATGAAGAGATTTTTTTATAAAAAAAACATTTTATATTATTAATTATTTAAAAAAACTGGCAAAAAGCTTAATTTTGAGGGTAGTGATGCATTTTGTAAATAAAATGTAAATGCTAATAACAATTAAAAGTTTCATTAAGTCTGATTCCTCTCTAGATATATATACATGACCTGCCTCTATCTTCCCACCCCTCAATCTTTAAGCAGCAAAATTTAATAGCATCAATGTCCCTTATATACAAGTTACCATGTCAAATTTTGTTTCTGAATCATTACTCCATCCTGAGATATTAAATGAAATAGACACCAACAGACACGTGAAATTCTTTTCCCCATTTTTTTCCTTACATTTTTGGGTTCAGGAGTCTCAAAACATCAAAATTTCCAAAAAACCAAAAGGGTCAAATTTGACACAATTCCAAAACTTGAATGATATGTATGAATATATATATGTAATGAAATTTATACATAACAATCAACAAGTAATACTGCTGGAGGAAAGTCACCTAGCTACCTCATATCACCATCCAACTCATTTCTAATTATGAATTAGCATAATGTTCACAAGTAAATTATTAACTTTTAGAATAAGCAAATTTAAATTTAAAAAAATCTAAATTGACAAATATCTGTAACCAAAAGAATAAAATAATATTAAATATGAATAATATTAATTCAGCTGTTTAATTCAACACATTATAATTTTATTTTTAATAGTAAACAAATGATATTTATTAACTTACAGAAACAGGAACTGCTGCAGCTGCAGAACCAACAAACAAATGTGGTTGCGGTGGCAATGAAGTAGCAAATGGTATTGGAGGAGGTGCACATATTATTCCTGGTACTTGACCAGCAAATTGAGAAGTTCCAGGTGAAGCATTTGCTGATCCAACATTTAAAGCACTTGGCAAGGCCATAGGGTGAGTTGCACGAGGTGTATTTGGACGTGGATTATAATACATCTAAAGATAAACACAGTAAATGTTATTAACACATATTAGTTTTTTCTAAATAAATAAATATTACTTAAGACTTTATTAAAATAAATTAAAAGAAAACAATATATATCTATTCATGGGCAGAGTTTATGGTTGGCGCTTTTGGACGGAAGGAGGCTTCCACCTTTTATAGGAATTCATTATGTTCTAAAAGAAAGACCTAATCACCAGTAAGCCAGATGGATAGTAGATCTAAGATTTTCCACCCTAACCCAGGGGTCGGCAACCTGCAGCTCGCGAGCCACATGCGGCTCTTTGGATGTGAAGCTGCGGCTCTTTAGTTCCATACGCATATATTATTTATTTTATAAAAAAAAAAAACATTAAAAATCGTTTTGAATCAATTAACGAGGATTAGGCACTGATTCTATCTCTCAGCCACTTGTACTCGCTTTTCACCGCACCCCTTCCCCGTGACACGCGTCGTCACTGTCGTCAGTCCGTCGGAAGCTCTCGAATGACGCCGTCGTCAGATGTTTCTATTATCTAATTTGTTGTGAAAAACACTACTTATATATGAATAAATAGATATTTTATCTTATGAATAAATAGATTAGTTTTTTTTTTATCAAAAAACTTTATTTGTGCAAGTACTATTTATTGTTGGCAAGAAAAAATTTAGTGGCTCTTTAAAAACTTTGAAATTTTGTAAATTGTAATTTTGGCTCTTCCGACTCAAAAGGTTGCCAACCCCTGCCCTAACCCATTGGAGAAGACGAGTATTTTGGAGTTACTTCAGGGAGAACTGGATATTAATTAATTACGGATGGGATATCGTTATTAGAGAGGTTACGGCGCAAGTTCAAGCGTTACTTGTACACAGCAAGCAGAAGTACATGGTTTATGTTTTAACTCCAAGAAAAAATCGTTGCGGTGCATGTTCACAACATCACGTGACTCAGTGAACACGCGCACTAACTCACGGGAAATTTGTTGAAAAAATGGCAGATACATTTAACATCGAGGGTTACCAGCGAAGGTAAATAAACAAATTAAACTATTTTAAAGTATTTATAGGATGTTTAATAACACTAATTATTTTTAATTAGCATTGTGGCTCCTACCGTACAATAGGACTACCTCATACCTTTGTCGAGGGAAGTAGTGGCTTATGTAAATTTGAAAGCAGCTCAAAAAATTAATTTTTAAAAAATTTACAAACGTATTACACTGTTGACGGTAGAAGATGCCGTGGAAGAACAAACCTACCTTATGATAAGCTATTATGAAGGCAAATATATGTAAATTCTATAGGCACTTCACATCACTTGCTAAAAAATTGAATAATTAAATAATTTCTGGATTAAAATCGTATGTTTTTTTACAATATTATTCGTAAATGCTTAAATAATCATTATTTTAATAAAATAGGTCATAATTTTAACTCCAAACACAAAAAAAAAATGAAACAGTTTAAACCAATCTTCTACTCGTCATGCTAGATGTAGTGAATGCCATTATCAACCGTCTAGAATTGCCAGATAGCGGTGCTCGACCGTCTGCCATTCACATTTTGGGCTGAATACAACGGCTGCAATCTCTCTATTAATTCAACTAAATTTAAAGCAGAATACTAAATTGGAAGGAATGATTGCTAAAATTGACAGAATTTATACTTGGGTGGAAAATTTGAATGAAGCTATTGTTAATTTAGAAACTAGAATTGAGGATTTAGAGAAAAAATTTACATATAATACTGGCAAAGTCTTATCAGCTGACAGGATAGACCTAGAGAATAAATTGGCCAAATTTACATTAAGTCAGGAGTGGTTTGAGTGTTTTTTAAGGTGCAATAATTTGATAATTTCTGGATTACCTGAATCGGAAAATGATCATTTGCTGGTTAGAGATGTAGTATTGGAGTTTTTTTTATAATAAATTAAGTGTTGATCATGTTAGTTTGAAATGGTGCTATAGATTAGGTCAACAACAGAATAATAGAACTAGATTGATTTATTGTACTTTTTGACTATGGTGATAAATGTAAGATTAGAAGAGTGGCATCTAAATTAAAGGGCACCAGGATATTTATAATGGATAACCTTCCTCTTCTAACTAGGGATATAAGGATAATAATTAATAACTTTGCTAAAGAAAAAAAAAGGATGGGATCCATAATAACTTATTTAAATAATAAAAATGCAGTAAAAGTTGGCAACAAAATTTATAAATATAATATAGTTTCTAAGAAAATGGAAGAGCAAATTACAACTTGACTGGGAGTAGGTATGTCGGTACTTTCATGGAATTGTGAAGGGGTTGTAAATAAACCTAAGTCCTTTTGGAATTATTTGTGTACTTTTGATATAATTTTCTTAATGGAGATGTGGTGGAATGGTAGGACTACTATTCCTGATTTTGATAGTATGGATAATTTTACTGTTTTTCAGGAAGCACGTTATTGAGAGACTGATAGAGGTCATTTTATTGGTGATTGGATATTATTGATAGTCAATTCTTTGAAAGTGAATATTTTGGAAAAAGATAGGCATTGGATTGTTGTGGAAGTAACAATAGGGCATTTAGTAATTTCCTTTTGTTTTATGTACATAAGACCTGCTCTATGAAATACTATTTGGATTGAGGTAGTTAGGTTGGTTGACTGTTACAAGTTAGATTTTCTAATCAGTGATTTTAATGCTCATACTGGTCTGGAGCTATAGGAATGGATTTATGATTGTAATGAGGATTTTGATCAGAATTGGATGTCAATACTATCACAGGTTACATTGGTAAATAATCGTGATAGATTGGTGTTGGATTTTTGTGAATGCGCAGGATATATAATTTTAAATGGTAAAGGATCATCTGTGTCTAAAGGTTATTACACTTATGTAGGTGAAATAGGATGTTCTATAATTGATTTAGCTTTGGTTAAGTTGACTCGATTATCTATTGCAACAAGTTTTTTTGTATTGGATAAAATATATAATAATCATTTTCTAATTAGTGTGATTTTAGATTGTAAATTTAAAAAAAAAATTCAAGAAGTGTTCAATAGGTTTAGGGGTAGTAGAGAGAAAATGTTTTGGAGAGAAGAGAGTAGTGAGATGATAAATCATAAATATAGTGATTTAATGTGTGCAATTCAGAGTCAGTCAGTATTAACGTTCGAGATTTTGGATTATTTAATTAAATCCTCATTTTCTGATTGGTGCCAAAGGACTGTTGGAACTTCCAAATTTTCATGGTTTGATGCAGATTGTAAACAAAGTATTGCAAGAAAAAACTAAGCATTGAATAGGATGAGGCAAGTGAAGATTGGAAATAGTATAGCTGTGTGTAATTTTGTTAAGGAGCGTAATGTGACTCGTAATTTATGTAGAAATAAGAAAAAGTTTTTTTTGCAAAGGATTAATAGAAATTTGGCATCTGGTGATGGTAAACAGTTCTGGCGATTTATTAATTTTTTGTTAAAAGAAAATGTAGAGATCTTCCAGATCTTGACTGGGTAGCTTATTTTTCTCAGAAATTTTACTCTAGTAAATATTTACCGAATATTTCTATATCTAACTTGTGATTATTGGCAGGATGAGCTGTTGGATACGGAGATAACAGAACAGGAAGTCAAAAAAGTTTTAGTTACCATGAAAAATGGTACTGCTCCAGGTATTGATGGTATACCAGTGTAACTATATAAGAATTACACAGATTTGATTGGATATATGGTAGGTTTGTTTAATAATGTTTATCAATCAGGAATGATCCCATTGCACCGGTATATATGTAAGATTATTCCTATATTTAAAAATGGGCTTAGAGATTTACCTGATAATTATAGAGCAATTTCGTTACTACCAACAATTTCTAAAGTTTTTTGTAAAATTTTATGTAAGCAATTGGTAACTTGATTGAATAAGTCTGAAGTACTCTCGGACTTCCAGGTTGATTTCTGGTCTGGTTTTTCAACATTGGACAATATTTTTGTTTTACATGCTTTAATACAGAAGTCTTTAAAGAAGAAATGAGGTAAACTTTATGCTATTTCTGTCAACTTGACATCAGCATTTGACTCTTTAGATAGAGACCTTTTGTGGAGACAGCTTTTGAAGATTGGTTTGTTATAAATTTGTAAATTGTTTGATCCAGTTATATACTAATACAGAGGCATGCGTGTCTGGTAAAGAAGGTGTCTTGACCTTTTTTTTTTTACATTAAAAGGTGTGAAACAGGGTTGTGTATTGAGCCCAATATTGTTCAATCTATATTTATATCCACTTGTAAGTAAAATGAGTGCTTCTGAATTAGTAGTTATTGATCTTTTGGAAACAGAGGTGAAAATTTTGGCACATGCTGATGATTTGATTGTTATGGCAGACTCACCTATGGGTCTACAGATAATGATTGATTTTTTGGGATATACACTACAGGAGTTACAACTTTCTGTTAATACCAAAAAATCCAAAATCATGGTATCCCAAAATGAAGGAAAACATTCTAAAAATGAGAATTGGTTTTTACAAAATTGTAAAGTAGAAGTAGTTGATGAGTATAAGTATCTAGGTGTATTTTTCCAGTTTAATGGGCATTTCTAAAAGCATTTAAAGTATATTCATAGTAAAGTGAATATTGGAACAGATAAGATTATTAAGGCTTGTGTATCTGGTAGTTTGGTACGCTGGAAAGATAAGTTAAACTACACTACACTGCAAAACACCTGGATGTGTTAAATACTGTACTCTAAGAACCTATAACCGGTGTGATATAAAAATAAAGGATAAAGATCACTACAAACATTTTTGAATTGCTGCGAGTTCTTCCTTGGGTGTGAAACTAAATTACTGATGGGACAGAGTGAACCATTAAAGGAAATTCGAGAAACAATTAGAAGGTGTTACATGAGATGCATGTGTATTCGTCTAGTTGACATATCATGACCTTAAAGTTTGGAGTCCATCAACGCCTGCCAGTCCAGCGACAGAACTAACTCATCCTTAAAATTGATGCAGTTGTCATTGAGAAACGATTTGTAAATTTGAATGGCCTCAAGCCACTTAAGGTGTTTGTTGTGTGACATAGTGTGTACCAGTTTCGCCTGATGGAAGACCACCATAATGTCTGGGTTGGCAGAGTATGTGGCGAGGGCGGAAGCACTTCTTTGATGACGTATGTCCGCTATGTGTTCCTGTATTCTGACTTCTAAGGAGCAAGAAAAGAGTATACAGATCACGTACAGGAGATGTCCTATCATCTTTGACATCCTTTGCAATGGAAAAAACCTCCCCCAACCAGAACAGACTCCCTGACATATATAGTATTCACGTTAGGACAACAGGTTTGATAGGGATCTCGTTTACATCGGATCCACAAAATGCTCCTTAGAAGTCAAAATACAGGAACACATAGTGGACATATGTCATCAGAGAAGTGCTTCCGCCCTCGCCACATACAATCGGACATTATGGCGGCCTTCCACCAGGCAAAACTCGTACACACTACCTTAAAAGGCTTAAGGCCATTCAAATTTACAAATCGTCCCTCAATGCATCAATTTTAAAGATGAGTTAGTTCTGTCGCCGGCCTGGCAGACGTTGATGGACTCTGAACTTTAAGGTCACGATATGTCAACTAGATGAACACACATGCATCTCATGTAACACCTTCTAATTGTTTCTCAAATTTCCTTTAACAGTTTGCTCTGTCCCATCAGTAATTCAGTTTCACCTGAGGAAGAACTTGCAGCAGTTCGAAAACGTTTGTGGTGATCTTTATCCTTTATTTTTAAATCACACCTGTTATAGGCTGTTAGAGTACAATAAGTTAAAATTATTTGAGTCATTTATTCAGTCAGTAGTGTTATATGAGTCCGAGATTTGGGGTTTTGATTGGAGAGACAGAGATGATAATTTACAAATTAATTTTATTAAGCGTTTATATTCGTTAAAAAGATGGATTCCATCATATATTATATATTTGGAGTTTCAAACGGTCCCCATTTATTTTAATATAATAAAAAATAATTTTAAGATGGTTACGCAAACAGTCTGTTAGTAAACTTACCAAGTCTACTAAATTATTATTGATTTCTCAAAGAATAGCGTGGGGAGATCAAATTGTGTCCTTGTTGCAGAATTTCAGTTATTGAAATGATCTGATAATGTTAAATGAAACTGTTGCCTCTGATATTTTAATAAGACTTGCAAATAATTATCTAAATGAGTTTAAAGATAAAGCAGCTAATTACAAATATAATAAGTGGTATCTGGATGTTTTTAATGAATGGGGACAGTGACCTATTTGAATACGGAAAGACCATTTTGCATTATACAAGTAGTGTTATATGTTCGATGTAATATATTTAGAAGACTGATGACTCCGTGTATGGAGTATTGTGAATTTTGTGATACTCGCATCAATTTTGATGCTTTTCATGTAGTAACTGAATGTAAGGCTCTGACGTTGGTCAGACAAAAGTGTTTTGGTGAAGATTGTTTTTCAGTTCAATCATATAAGCAATTGCTACAAGATTATAATAAATATTATTGTATTTATAAGTTTATTACCAAGATAAATGGCTAAAGGAATTTAATTTGATTAGAACAAGATATTTTCTTTTTCTTTTCAGAAGTTCATCCACCAGGAGGTGTGATTATAGTATATTAGAGGACAATTTAGTGCTTGACAGTTGGCAGCATTTATGGTCGGCGCTTTTGGGCGTATTATAATTAATAATTTAACTTTTTTCAAATAATTGTCTAATTCTTTTTGTTCTATATTATTATATTGTATATTTTGTGTGCATCAACCATATGCTGCCATTTTTTGTGTTTATTTGTTATTTCTTTTGTGGTTATAACTATTATTATTGTCACTTGTGCTTGTTATTGAGATTAACTTTGTATTGTTCCTTTTTATATTTAACAGGCTAATTGTTATGTGCTTACTGTGAATAATAATATATTTTGTTTTAATATTGATACTAGTAATTATAATATTTTTGTGTTTGGTTCTAATATGCCTGTACATACAGGGTTTCCCTTGTACTATTAAACAAATAAATAAATATACCTATTCATTTAATTTCATTATCAAGAGTTATTAAAGAATCTAATGTTACCATATTTCCCAATGGTCTAGCTGGCATATGCTGCCCTTGAGGTTGCTGTAATGTTCCTGGATTAGGATTTGGTCCTGATAATCCAGATTGAGGACCTGGTGCTTGAGCAGAAGGATATAATCCCGACGTCGGTGTAGCTGGTGACGACAAGGGAGATTGTTTGCTCATGTCATGTGGATTACAATTTGTTATTGATGGTACAGGACCTGTTGCCAATTGACGCAATGTTTGATGCTAAAATTTAAATATTTATCAATCAAATTACATTGGTCATTATTATGGTAAAATATCAATACAACATTAATTCACATATTACTATAGTTGATATATATATATTATAAATAATGATATATATATCATTATTTTAAAAAATTATAATCTAATTTTTTAATGCAAAAGTTTGTCTTAATAATATGATTTTGATCTTTTCATTATAAGAAACTATTTTAGATCATTCCCTCTAATATACAGTAAATTACTTTGGCAGATAACCTTCAAAATTTCTTTTAGTTTAAATATTTGACAGCTTCATTTTTATAAACAGAGTGTCATTTTCAACAGAAAATAATAAGTAAAAATCTATCATTTTATATAGGTAGTGAAATGCAATTATAAAAAAATGCTGGTAAAATGAAAATCAGTAAACCATATTTACTCGTGTATAAGACAATCTTGCATATAGGACGAGGTATGACTCTAAAGATCATAATAAAGAAAATTAGATATATTAATAAAGTTCTAATTTTATTTTGTTTAATCACAAAGAAATTATCAAATACATGTAAATGCAGAAATTGTCCTGCAAAAATTACTGGCACAGAAAAATCTTGTAAAATTGACAACATAATTTGTTCATGTAAAGCTGGACAATTGGAAAGCTTTTTTGCTGATTCTTAACAGTTGAATCCACTCTCAATCAATTACATTTATAAGTTTCTCCAAATTCTGATTTCTAAATAATCATCAGTTTTCACGTGAGAATGGATTAAAATGTATTGGGCTCCCATGTGATTTTGGAATTTCAATTCAGAATTCAATTCAAAAGCTTTGCTCTTCCTATTGCTATTCATCTGTCAATACACAAGAACAATTAAATGACCCAGATAAAAACCAGAGGTTTTTAAACACCAGAGGGTAAGCATCCGGTAAAAAACTTGAATGCACAGTTCACAAAAATTATTGCAAAAATGCAAAGAATCTTTCACTTGTGCATGTAGGACAACTTAGGTTTTTGAAGCAGTGAAAAATGAATAAAAACCTCATCTTACACATGAATAAATACAGCAATTAATTTATTTCAATAAAATTTTTAACTAAGATGCAATACCATGCATCTTAGTTAAAAATGTTTCAATTTATAAACTATCATTTTTAAGATCAGGAGTCCAATTTTGGAGACCTGATATGTTTGATATAGTTAAGTCTAATTTTTAGATCATTAGGCTTAACATGATGTAACATGATAATGATGAAATAAGAGCATTACATAAAAAATTTATGGAATGATTTTTCCAAGTAACCAGAGTGGGGAATAACATTCTACAAAACTTATGAAATTAAAAACAGCACTTAAGAAAGAAATTAGTTTAAAGAAGTGCCTACTGCATTCATAGACCAATTAATGACAAATCTGGAAAACTTCTATTCAAATGGAGATCTGATAAATGCATCTAATATTTTTAATGCACAAAACTTTTGTACCTGTAACTGTATTGAAACAGAATTGAAAAAGTTCCTAGAATTCTATAATTCTCAAAAGAAGATAAATAATGAGACTATAACTTCTATAATCAATGCCATGGATTCAAAAATAGAATGGATGTCACTCAGGACTTTTATAAGTAACATACTAAGATAAACATTCAAGAATTTTATGCTACAGTGCTCAAAGAATCCAAAGAATTGTATCCAAAGTTGTACATATTAGTGGCAATTGATTTAGCACAGCCAATATCAAGTGTAAATTGTGAGAAACAGGTTAGCAGGTATAATCAAATCAAAAATGATTATTGAAACGTTCTTAATGTAGCAAATGTGAGAGTTCTAATGATGCTTTCAGTGGAAGTGTCTGAACTTTGAAAGAAATTTATCAAATAGATCACAAGCAAAGAGAGAAGAAATAACAAATCACTAACAAACAAAAAGTAATGCTATGAAATTATTAAAGAGGCTGTCATATATATACATATCTTTGCTGTTATGTCGATATAATAACATGACTTATAGTAAAGCAGTTTTGTTATTTACAAGAATAAATTCTTGGTTGTGATTTATCATAATTTTAATGTCAATAATAATTCACCAGAAACACATGCAAAAAAAAAAGTTGATTAACACTCTCCAAATCAGGCTAAAGATTATGATGTGTTTAAATAGACAGGCTGATCATTAACAAAACCCAGTACAACACCTATCACATATAAATTTTTAAAGTCTGCTTTTTTTTCACTGTAAAAAATACTTAATTTTTTGTACATTACATTGTGCCACTATTCAATAATTTTTTATTTTAGCAATTCTTTTAGTTGAGTATAAAAATATCAAAAATATAAAAAGTAAATATATCTGCATTAGAATTATTCTTAAATTCAACTAATCTGTTAATTAAGCTACTACAGTAGAGCATCGTTTATCCGAATCAATTGGGGACTGGGGTTGTTCGGAAATCGATATTTCTGTTAACCGATTATGTACGAAAAAATATATTAACCTATCCCATGTTAAAATTTTCCTCCGTTGCATGTCACTTTGAGTTGAATTTTCGTCAATGTTAAGCCTAACAAAGACTATTGTATCGTTAAAATTTTTTTTTTATTTTGTACAAACAAAATAAATATATTGAAAAATATAAAAACAATAAAAAATTATATTTCAGAAGTTAATTTAGTATCAAAAACGTAAAATATTTCAGTAGCCCAAGACATAGCCAAAGATTGCAACGCCACAGCACTGGCGAAAATTTAAATTTGCCGACTGGAATTCTTTCGGAT